TGAAACGTTGTACATTGGCCCGATGGGAGGACTAGGATCCCTACCCGGTGATGCTAAAATGTTGTAAAGCTGACAATCAGGCCGATGCCGACTTGGTGTTCCTTGGGAAGAAAGAGAATCAGGGAGATTTTTTTTTACGTGTACGAGTGTTTCTTCAAAGAGCTAGAGGTCTTGATAGAACTAGTGAAGAACGATTGATGATTCTTCATAGTTCCACCTTAAACGACCTTTCTCCTTGAGGTTGTACTCCTTGAAGATGGCGGAAACACTTGGAGAAACATCCAAAGAGGTTCAGTTACCTCTTGAAGAAGGTGAAGGAGCTTAAGGAACCAAGCTTCAAGGTTGAAGAACCTTTGAGAGAGAACTAAGAGAGAGTTCTCCACGGAATTGGACTCTTGAGAATGAGAGAGAATTCTAAATTCTAAATCTCATCAATGTTAAAAGTGAGCTAGAATGTAGGAATTACAAATTTATAAGGAGAGGTAGCTTGGAGAGTAAGCTAACCTTAACCATGGTTCACTAGGAACCATGGTGAGGTTAACTTGACCGTCCAAGGTTTAGAAACTTGTGGAGCAAGCTTCTCACTTAGCTTGCTTCCCAAGCAAGTTAAGGAGAAACATGTGCTACAAGCTTCTAAGCTTGAAGAGAGTAAAAAGCGATTTCGACCAAGACAAAGAGACTAGGCAAGGTGGGCAGCCAAGACTCTATTTTGCTCACTTTGGTTATTTCAAAAATGTTTGATTTGGTTTAGTTAGGTTCATCCAATGATGATGAGACCTAGCTAAATCAAATCTATGAAAAATTAGGAGCAAAATGAGTCAAATATGTAAAATTTTTCCTAGGCCCAATTCTAGCCCAATTACTAGTCACACCCTCAAGCATTGCTAAATGCCACCCCACTTCTACTACTGAAAAAATAGAAAATGAGTGTATCAACAAAGGAGGTTAAATGGAGTCAAACTCTCCAAGTAACCCACCCTAGAATCAATATACAATGACTAATAAAAGAAACTAAAGTGCCTCACAAATACAAAGGCAAAAATAAGCCTATACAAGAGAACTATGTACAAGATATTTACAACTCTCTTCATGATAGAGTAGTCCAAGTGAAGAGTACCTTGGGCTTAAGAAGCCCACTGGTCTTCAAGATATCCCACTCTGCTTGTATGCTCCTGGCCATAGCTCTAGTGATTAGGCCCTTAGCCCATATGGTCTATCATCCCCTCCCTCTTGAGAAGGATTTGTCCTCAAATCTGTAGGGTTATCTTCCTCATCATAACCTGCAATGGGAATAAGATCACTAACATTAAAAAGTGTTACTTACTCCATAATCACTAGGAAGATCTAACCTGTAAGCATTATCATTGATTATTTGGAGGATCTGAAAGGGACCATCTCCTCTTGGATTGAGTTTAGACTTTCTTTGAGAAGGAAATCTTTTCTTTCTCAAATGAAGTCAAACCCAATCTCCTTCCTAAAAAATGAGGTTTTTCTTTCCTTTGCTTCTCTTTAAAGCAGTTCTTTCATTTTGTTGTTGAATATGGGTTTTAACCTTCTCATGTAATTTCTTAACAAAATCAGCCTTAGATACCCCTTCTTTATGAAAATGATGAGAATAATCTGGTAGGGGTATTAGGTCCAGAGGAGTGTCCCTATCTGACACAATTGTTTTGGGTAGACCATGAAGTCTAACCACTTCCTTAAAGAAGAGTCTTGCTATGTTGCTTGCAGGATCTATCTTGTGACAGGGTATAAAAGGGGCCATTTTACTAAATTTGTCCACTATCACAAAGATAGAATCCATGCCTCTCTGGGTTTTGGGCAAGCCCAAAATAAAATCCATACATATATCAACCCAAGGAGATAGCAACTGGCAAGGGTGTATAGGAGCCATGAGGCATTACTTTAGACTTTGCTTGCAAGCAAGCTATACATCTAGAGCAAAACCTCTCAACATCCCTTCTCATGTGGGGCCAAAAAAATTTGTCTTTTAAAAAGCTTAGAGTCTTTTAAACTCCAAAGTGCCCCATGAGACCACCCTTATGACTTTCTTTTACAAGAAGTTTTCTAATAGATCCTTGGGGTATACATATTCTTCCTTCTTTATACAAGTACCTCTCAGAAATATATAAACCTCCTTAAGGCTTTGCTAAACACTTGGTATAATAATCATTAAACTCAGAGTCATTGGAATACAACTCCTTAATATGATCAAATCCCAAGATTTGAGATCCAAGGGAGACTAGCAAAGTATGTCTCCTTGAAAAGGCATCAACAACAATATTAATTTTCCCTTTCTTGTATTTGATCATATATGGGAATTGTTCCAAAAACTCTACCCATTTAGCATGCCTTTTATTAAGTTTTTCTTGACCCCTCAAATATTTAAGTGACTCATGGTCACTATGAATGACAAACTTCTTGGGAATAAGGTACTGTTCCCAAGTTTGAAGGGCCCTAACCAAAGTATAGAGCTCTTTGTCATAGGTAGGGTAGTTAAGGGAGGCACCTTTGATTTTTTCACTAAAATAAGCAATTGGGTGCCAACCCTGTAACAAAATCGCTCCTATGCCAACCTCAGAGGCATCACATTCTAGCTCAAAAGTTCTTGAAAAATATGGAAGAGCTAGAAGTGGTGCATGGGTGAACTTATCCTTTAAGGCTAGGAAGGCTCTCTCTTGTTTATCTCCCCATATAAACTCAACATTTTTCTTTACTAACTCATTTAAAGGGTAGGCAAGTGTGGAGAAATTAGGAACAAACCTCCTATAGAAGCTATCCAAACCATGGAAGCTCCTAATATCTCTAACACTTTTAGGAGTAGGCCATTCTTGGATGGCCTTGATTTTCTCGAGGTCCACATGAACCCCTTTTTTACTAATGATAAATCCTAAAAATATGACACTATCTACACAAAATGTACATTTTTCTAAATTGCCAAATGTCGCAACCCGAAAATTTCCGATCTCGCGACTAA